TATCAAACGAGCAGCGAGAGCAGTATCACACGAGTGCTGTTTGTCCCAAGTGCAAATGTGATTTTATACAACAGTTCAGTAAATAAGAAGTTAATTACCGATACTGTAATGCACGTTACTTAACGGTAGGGAGACAGAGAGAGCGAGAGAGAGAGAGAGAGAGCGCGCGCGCAATTCTGTTGCGTGATCTTTGATGTTCACTCACTTAGCACACGCATCATTTGGATTAAAACTAAATCGTAAAAATAAGCCCATTTATAGGGGCATTCACTATAAACGTCATTTATTTTCAAGCTTAGTCATACACGACTTTCTGGCGAAAGTGAATCTAGCAGCCTGTGTGAAATGCGCTAGGCTGTACTATTCTTAAAAAATGTACAAATGCAATAAAAATATTGGTATCGGTACTCGGTATCGGCAAGTACCAAAAATAAAAGTATCGGTATCGGGCGAGTACTGGAAAAAGTGGTATCGGTGCATCCCTAAAGTTAATACTGTGTTATATTTCAAATAGAGTATTGTCTGTTTTTGCTCAATTTGGCAGAGAAATTATTCCCTTTAAAGTGACAGCAGAATTGTTGTGCGTCTCCGAGCAACACAACGGTGTTTAGTTTCTGAATGAATCTGCGTTTTGAACAAATCGAATGAATGACTCATAAAGACATTTACCGCCACCTGCTGGCAGTTTTAGTTTCTTATATCTTATTTCATTAAAAAAAAACAAAAATAAAAATAAAGGGATAGTTCACCCAAAATTTCTGTCATAAAACACCCTCATGTCCGTTCAAATCTGTATGACTTTCTTTTGCACAACATAGAAGGTATTTTGAAGACTGTAACTAAGCTGTTTTGGTTATCAGAGACTTTCATTGCATGAACAGAAATACTGAGATGTTTCTCAAATGATCTTCTTTTATGTTCCAGACTATATGTTTTAGCCGAAACGTTTATGTGTAATACATTTTATGTTGAATCAAATAAAATATTTCTTTCTAAAGCTACTATTTGTAATGTCCAGCTACTTGATACTTTCTCATTTCATACAATAATAGCTATAAATAACCTTTTGTGGGTATTTTCACAGCCAAATTTAATTTGCAATTAATTAATCGACACATCATGTAGGCCTAATTAATTAGATTAAACATTTTAATCGACTGACAGCTAGGGGTGTGCGATATATATCGTCTGCGATAATATCGTAATTGTTGTTTTAACAGCCCTAATAAAAAGCATTTCACAGTCATTTTGTCATTTCCAAAAATGTAAATAATGCATTGTAAACTGCACTGTTACAGCGTGGTGCACAACTTTTTGAAATATAAATATCGCTAATTCGATTATTATTGTCTAATAGTATTAGCGTGAACACAGTAAGGTTGTAAATGTGAAGAGGTGGAAAAAAGATATTGATTTGTGTCAGAATATTAAAGACCTTTTATTTTATTAAACAACATCACTGACTAAAGAAAGAGTAAAGCACTCACTGTTTTAAATGTATTATTTGCTTTATTGTTGGTATAGTTGGTGTTCACTTGAAAAATGACATCTAAACCTGAATGTTTATTTCATTGAGAAACACTTGAAGGCTGTAATCATTTGTTTTTAAACAGCATTTAGACTGCATTTCCCTTGTACTTATATGATATGATGAATAATTTATGTGTTGCTGAAGACAGTATTAGCATATTTATTGCATATTGAAGAAATAATTACTTCAGACCTGACTTGCAAGTACTCAAATAAGTAATCTACAGCTTCACGCGTCAAAATGGTAATTAAAATCACCAGCATTTCTCAACAGTACGCACTTGTTGTCTAAATGGTAAAATGCCTGTAATGTCCTGGAAGCAAGCAGTCTCTTGTGAATTAGGTTTGTCTCTCAAAGTGCAAGTGTCACTGAGAGTTATTTGGCACATTTGAGTGGTGCGCTGTGCAAATCTCTCTTAGTTTATACCATATATAATTTTGTTTTCTAGAATATATCATGAAGGTCCTTTCATTAGTTTTTGTATTATTAGACTGACAGGCTCTTTAGAGTACATGAACAGGCAAGCAGTTCTGATTATCCTATTGTCTAATTCTGTTTTGCTATTTGTGTAGTTAATTTAGACCAGAATGTTTACAAAGTAACAGAAACTTAAAGGTCTTCACAGCCACCCGTCGAAATAAATGTTTGGCTTAACTTGAAGAAACTGTGACAGAAATATACTTAATGTAACGATAGTACTACTACTACTAATAAAATGATCATTAAAATATAATTTGTTAAGGAATATTTACCACAAAAATATTTAGCAGAAAAACTACACAACATAGTATTTCTGAAAAAAAAAAATATATATATATGTATTTATATAAAATCAGTTAATTAGAGATGTTTTGGAAAACACAAATGGAAAACACAGTATTTGGTTAAAAACTAGATAAATAAATAAAACTGAATTTGAGAAAAAATATAACATTTCATAGCGCCTTAAAATTTAATTGTTGTTAATTTCGTACGTTTCATGATTTCAATTAATTAGACATGCTTTTTGATTAATCCAAAAAATTATTTAACCATTAAAACAGAGTCTAGAAAAATTTAAACGGAAAAAATGGAATTTGGAAAAAATAAAACGGATGTCATAGGGCCCTAAATGATTTTTTTTACTTTATTTTCTCTATTTATTTTCTTCACCTCTCAGGTGGAGTCCTCAACCGTGGGAATGTTTCTTAACTATCGAAACAGAAAAACAGGAAATTGATATTTGATATGAAGAAAAACTGATAGCCAATGTCCAGTCCACGTAAAGGAGCAGAATGAACTGTTGCATGACTGCCACCCCTGCCAATGAACTGACCCACTTTTATTTTCTACAAAATATAATGTACTTCTCTTTCTTAAAATGAGACTTGGGTGTTTGTTGTCATTTGTTCAGGCGCTCAACAGATGGCACTGTTAAACTGTGTGCTGACTGTACTAATGCAGTACAAATGAGAGTAAGTAAATAAAGCAAACTACTCAACTTCAGAAACCAGCCTCAGTGAGCAATGCTGTTGAATTGTTTTTCATGGTCATTCATGCTCGCACTGTACAGAGAAGAAATGAAATTGTCTTATTTAATCAAGCTCCTCATTGCATCTCAGTGTCACGTCTCTGTTCAGATCTCAGATGAAGTACTATTCGAAGGATCGTAACCTCCTTCAGATCCAGTCCTTCGTGACACAGCTAGCATTAGTCTGAATTGCCCTTCAGTGGCTAATGGCTCTGAATTGTTGCCAGAACCAGAATAACACAGATTGCACTCGGAGATCTTGGATGATGTCATTGATGTGGGAGGACAGCGGGTGATGAGCGTTACATTTGTTTCTGATGTACTTTTATCACTGTTGGCAGAAGCCTGTGGTGACATTTTATTGATTATTTATTGCTTCTCCCTAATTCCTCTTTTTCATCTTTTAAATATTCCGTTTTAAAATAGCCTACCGCTTATATACAGTCAGAATGTCTTCCAGTTTTGTGGACATTCACACAAAGTCACTAGTCATGTGGCTACACAGCATTTGACCACTGATTTACAAAAATAATGTCAGGTTTCAACATTGTATCAACTACTGATGAACACATTAATTTTCATTTGAATTAACACTCGGTTGTTAAGTAGTTTAACCATCTATTACAATGTCTTTGGAAGGCTTTTGTCTTTCAAACACATTAAAATGCACAAATTCACATTATTTCTTATTTACATGTAATGCAGGGCTTCCCAAACAGCTGAACCTCTTTCGCCCAATATACAGTGTGTACGGAAAGTATTCAGACCCCCTTAAATTTTTCACTCTTTGTTATATTGCAGCCATTTGCTAAAATCATTTAAGTTAATTTTTTTTCCTCATTAATGTACACACAGCACCCCATATTGACAGAAAAACACAGAATTGTTGACATTTTTGCAGATTTATTAAAAAAGAAAAACTGAAATATCACATGGTCCTAAGTATTCAGACCCTTTGCTGTGACACTCATATATTTAACTCAGGTGCTGTCCATTTCTTCTGATCATCCTTGAGATGGTTCTACACCTTCATATACTTGAAGTACCCCTGAGATTTAAAATAGATATTTAAAATTTAAGTATCAGATTTGCATGTCCACAGTTCACTGACATTGGTGGTAAACAAATAAAATAATTCGTTTTTTAGGAAGTGTTTAATTTCAAGTTATGTTATTTTAAAAGAGTTTATTTTAATTTGACATTTTTATGATTTAATTAATGATTAGCTTTTCATTAAACTCACAAATCCCCTGCAGTACCTTTACGAACCCCAGTTTGGGAAACCTTGGGACGTAATATACCTAATGTTTATTGATTTCATATTGTGAGTTACAACGAATGGAATATATTTTCTTACTCTGACTATATTTTTATATCAATATGGTACAAGATTATCCTATTTAAATCAATGTGACAACTAAGGTTAGGTCTAAAGTAATCTAAAAGTAGTCTGTTTATATTACCTAAAATGTGTAATGTAATGGATTACGTTACTAACTACAATTTCTGTCATGTAATTTGGAATCAGTAACGAATTACAATTCGTAAGAAATCTACCGAGCTCTGGTCACTTATACAGGGTTAAATGGATGAATGTTTTTCAGTGTCCAGATACTTCTTGTTAGACAGCGTATCGTTTAGGCAAATTAATGAGTGTACTGTTCACATTCTCTGCTGACATATGAAAAGCAATTTCACTTGGAAATACATCACAGTATAGTAATAAAGTCGGTTGCAATTTACATTTTATGCTGACACAAAAAGTACAGAGCTTTTCAGAGAAGGTTTGAGGGTGTGCACTGACAGCTAAAGCATAGCACGCTAAGTCTAAAATATATAAAAAATATCAACTAAATAAAAGAAAAGGTCTACTTAATCTAAGTGACTAGTCGATGTTGGATCGTCGTGACCCATCCTTACTGTAATGACCTGTGTTCTGTGTGTTTGTGTGTTGTGCAGCAGCGATGCAGGGCTGAAGGACTGGGACTCAGACATGGATGGTGTGGAGAGTCTTAAGGACACAGATGTTCTCCACAATGGCAGCCGAAGCGACCGGGAAGCTGCCCTCCGTCTGGCCAGACGGCTCTACCACCTGGAGGGCTTCCAGCGCTCGGATGTCGCCAAACATCTGGGCAAGAAGTGAGTGCCTTCAGCCATAAATTCAGCTCTGTGTTTTTCTTCTCTCTGTCCTGTCTTCAGTTGGATACTTGTTATACACACCAACCAGAGGAATATGTAAATGTTTGACACTAACTAGAACCTGAAGAAAAGCATTGTGCAAACATACATGTACATTGCCGTTAAAAAATTTGGGATCAGTAAGATTTTTAATGTTTTTTTTTTTTTTTTTGAAAGAAGTTTCTTATGGTCATCAAGGCTGTATCTATTTGATCAAAAATACAGAAAAAATATATTGCAATTTAAAACAAGTTTTCTATTTTAATGTACTTTAAAATATAATGTATTTCTGTGATGCAGCACTGAATTTTCAGCATCATTACGCCAGTCTTCAGTGTCACATGATCCTTCAGAAATCATTCTAATATGCTGATTTATCAGTGTTGGAAACAGTTGTGCTGCTTAATATTTTTTGGGACCTGTGATATTTTTTCAGGATTCTTTGATAAAACGTTAAAAAGAACAGTGTTTATTAAAAAACAGAAATTTTGTGTTACAAAATACACTACTATTCAAAAGTTTGGGGTCTGTGAATTTTTTCTTTCTTTTTTTAAAGAATTTAATTTTGTTCAGCAAGGATGTGTTAAATGGATAAAAAGTGATAGTAAAGACTTATATTGTTAGAAAATATTTATATTTTGATTGAATGTTGTTCTTTTTAATGGTGTATTCATCAAAGAACCCTAAAAAAAAAGTATCACAGCTTCCAAAAAAATATTAAGCAGCACAACTGTTTCAACACTGATAATAAATCAGCATATTAGAATGATTTCTGAAGGATCATGTGACACTGAAGACTGGAGTAATGGATTTCTGAAGATCATGAGACACTGAAGACTGGAGTAATGATGCTGAAAATTCAGCGCTGCATCACAGGAATAAATTATATTTTAAAGTATATTAAAATAGGAAACCAATATTAGAAATTGCAGTAATATTTCACAATATTACTGTTTTTTCTGTATTTTTGATCAAATAAATACAGCCTTGATTGAGCATAAGAGACTCCATTAAAAACAAAAAATCTGCTGAATGGCAGTGTAGATGCTTACTTTGAGTCTGATTGGCTGACAGGTAGTTTGGGGTTTGTTGACCACATTATAGTTGTGTATTACTTTACAATGTTCTCTCTGAATTCTCTGAAAAGCCACAGCAGAAACTTACTAATGGATCGTTTAACAACTGAATATGTCCGGCAGTGTCTGTCATTGTCTATTTTGCTAATCCAGCTTCTTAGTCACGCACACATCACATATTTATCGTTATTTGGGGGAAGATGTTTTTTTTGCACTCAGAACAAGATTTCTGCCAATTTGGGGCACAATTCAAAGTGGAATGACTGTGAGCCAAGCAATCCTCACTGACAATGCAACAATAAAATGTAGCACACCATGAGAAATAGTGCATCCACTACTAGTGTTTTTTATGCTTAAATTCATATAATTTTTTTACTTTATGTAATTTGAGTGCTTAACTCCATTTTTAAGAGTGGCACATTTAATCAAAATATGGGAAAGAGTTTAAAGGAACACTCCACTATTTTTGAAAATAAGCTAATTTTCCAACTCCCCTAGAGTTAAACAGTTGAGTTTTACCGTTTTCTAATCCGATTCAATTATCTCTGCTAAGCTACAGCTAAAAGTGCTACGCCAGACCCGGAGATCGGCTGAATGGATTTGAAAACGGTAAAACTCAACTGTTTAACTTCAGGGGAGTTGGAAAATTAGCCTATTTTCAAAAATAGTGGAGTGTTCCTTTAAAGTCATTCTGTGTACTTCAGTACTTGGCCAGTCGTCTGTTCGCTAACGCCAATACAAGAATGTGTCTGCACAGTCCACATATTTATGCCAGATTTATTTTGAATAAATTCCAGTGTTTACACAAAAAATGGTGTTATGCATGTTTCAGTGGCAATTATTTACATTTTTTCTTTTTAGCGTTAATTTTATGCTTCAGTCCCCTGGAGTTTTTCGTTCCTTGCTGCAGTTGCCTTTGATTTGCTCACTTGGGGTTTACAGACAAATACCCCAAAATTAAAACTGTCATCATTTACTCACCCTCAAGTTGTTCCAAACCTGTATGAATTTCTTTCTTTTTCTGAACACAAAAGAATTTATTTTTCAAGAACGTGGATAACACAGTTGCTGGTCCCTATTGACTTGTATTTCCACTTAACCTTAAAATGAATTAATGAAATTATTAGATCAGCATATTTATGCTCCGGGTGTGTGTTCATGGTGTGTGTGTGTTCACTGCTGTGTGTGTGCACTTTGGATGGGATAAATGCAGAGCACTAATTCCGAGTATGGGTCACCATACTTGGCCACATGTCACGTCACTTTTTTTTTTTTTTTTTCTGTTGCTAATGCCATTCATACATTGCATTGTCTGTTTACAAGCATCTAAAACAACAGCTTAATCCTCTAGATTACTGTGGTGAACTGTGCTTACAGTTATTTCTCAGATAATGTTTCTTTGCCTCTGTCAGAACCAGTCAGATCTGTGCATGACCTTAGGTCAGTGACTGCACTGGAGCAGTTCAACACCCTCAGCCCCTTAAAGAACCACCCCCAGCCTTCAAGTTCATTCCTCACATTCTCACACACACTGGAAATAAAGATTTGAACATACAGGCACTCATCCATATTCATAAGCACTCTCCAGTACTCCAGAGGAGAGCATCATTACTCCAGTGTTCTCTGTAGCACCACCTCCACAGCTCTGCACTCATCCTGTCTCACTCTCCTGCTGTCTGAAGACCATCACTAGCCATGTTTCCATTACCCTTCAAGTTGCGCAAATTGTAATTGTGAATTGAAAATACGCCCAATGGAAACACGTCGATTTCACAGAAAAAGTTTTTACACTCATATGAGGTGCTTTTTCAGGCAATTGGAAAAAGGAATATATCGCAAAATTGCAATGGAAACATTTTTTCACATTTACAGGTCACCTGGCGTACGTAAATGTCACATGATCATTCTTTAAAGGGGTCATATGATGCTGCTAAAAAGAACATTATTTGGTGTATTTGGTGGCTAGAGTGAGCGGAGGCCGGTGAGCTTGAGAACGGCGGGCTTGCGGCAACCACATGTGACGACCCAGGGGCTGGACTCCGCTTCGTCCATGGTGAAAGCCGATCCGGCGATCCACAGCGTGAAGTTGATGTACTATGAACTCCAAGAAACACCGGCCATTCTCAAGTATAAAGGGCTTTCCTTGCCATTAATGCTTGGGTAACCCCTTATTTACATTGTTCACGTCTGTGGTGCATTACGGCTCCGATACGGCCACTCTAGACAATGCTTGTGTTTATATCAGCCACACCGCTGCACTTTTTTTTAGAAGTGTCCCAGAAGCGACTGTCCGCGCTGCTTCACCAAAGATACATGCATAGGTCTCCTTCGATTAAAAATAACGGTTAGTGTGGTGGCTGCAATTTACGTGAACCTACAAACATCTGTCACCATGACTTATTGCGAGAGGAAAAAAATTACATTTTAGTCACATAACATCGGTTAATGGAAACACCGTCAATTGGCAATAGGTTTTTTATCGGCATAAAATATCGCAAAAGTTTTGCTCAGATTTGCAATGGAAACCTGGCTACTGTCCACAGCCATGCGCTCATCCTGTCTCACTCTAACTTGTCTGAAGACCATCACTGTCCATAGCCACATGCTCATTCTGTCTCACTCTCCTGCTGTCTGGAGACCATCACTGTCCATAGACACACTCTCAACCTGTCTCACTGTCCTTTTGTCCACAGCCATATGTTCATCCTCTCTTACTGTCCTGTCTGGAGACAATCATTTTCAGTAACCCCATGCTCATCTTTTCTCACTCTTTTGCTGTCTGCAGACGTCAGTGTCCACAGGACCTAATACTGTAGAGGACCTAATACTGAGCCCTGTGGGACTCCATACTTCTGTTGGGTTGGATATCTTGCCATTAACACAAACAAACTGGTTGGATTGGTAGAATAGGCGATTAGATAGGTAGGACCTAAACCATACTAATGCCTACCCACAAATGCCAGCATAATTCTCAAGTTTATCCAGGAGAATGTTATGGTCTATAGTGTCAAAGGCAGCACTAAGATCTAATAGCAGCTGAAGGGAGATGCTTGTATTATCTGACCATGGCTGGAAGTCATTTTTATGACTTGTATGAAGAAAAAGATAAATCCATAAAGTGCAAATCATCTCTGAGAATATAAATCAATACACACTGCAAAAATGCCAAATGTAGAAAAAGTGCATGCGGCATAATCACAAACAAATTGCACTTGAAAGTAAATGAAAAGTTACAGTGTTTAATCAGAGAAATGGTGAGTCATTACAACAAGAGGGATTACAGCTCAGCACAAATACAAAGTCCAGGCTTTCCTTTTTAAAGTGTCAACTGTGCATAAAAATATATATGTTTCATAAATACTGTATATATTTCAGACTGTCTGTGCCCATCCTCCTCCCCCATTAAAGTCATTTATACACTAAGCATTATGAGTGAATCTGTTAATTCCAGTGATTGATCTCTATTTTTAAATTCATTGGTCAAAAGGTGTGGGATCCCTGAATGTGAAGTTTCAGTCATATAGCAGCACTGCCGCAAACTTATTCTCATGTCCGTCTGGGAATGCATGTTTCTTATGTAATGTGCTTTATACTGCTGTGATTCCTCTTCTGCATCTCTCTCCATTTTAGAGTCATGTCAGGGTAGATTCATGTCTTTTTCAGGGTTGTTCATCATAAACTAGTAAGATGCTCTGAACTTCAGTATGTCTGATTTCTATGTCAACGCTGATATTTCACACATACAGTAAGTATAAAATGATGTGTTGTGTGATTATAGTAAACACGGGCTCTTATCAAATGTTATTCAGATACCAGAAACTGTATGAGGTCCTGTTAGTTGAACTGTTGCAAATGTGAAGGTCATATTTTTTAATCTCTGTTATAATGTAATATGTATCTTCTGTTTGTGTTCACAGTAATGACTTCAGTAAGATGGTTGCAGAAGAGTACCTCAAATTCTTTGAGTTTACAGACATGACATTGGTCCAATCACTCAGGTACATCTCATTCAATTATTGTGCAGTCATACAGTCACAGTGTGTGTTTCTGCTATTTTGCATTGTCTAAAATGTGGCTCATCTGGTTGTATGTTTACAGCCTTTAAATAATATTTGATGAAATGAAGTTTTATTTGTAAATTATTTAATTCACACATTTATTAAAAAAAGTATATTTAGACAGATGTAGATAGATTTTTTTTTTAGAAATTCTATTTGGAAAAAAAAAAAAAAA